AGAGTAGAACTGTCAGATAATGCTCATATCCCCAGAACCACGCATTTGAAGCTCAGTATATTTTATTGATCATGTTGATTGTGAAGCTCATATCTGAACCGAGAATTATGATATCCTTAATTGTTACTACCTGAATGACTAGGAAAAAAAATTGTTTGAGATCCAATTAAGGAAAAATATCAAATTAAGCTGAGATTCTCTGTCACCTGAGGACTGAGGGTTTTTTTTCAAATTGGGAGGGAAAAAACATTCAGTTACATTTATTTTGCATGGACAGTTTTTGAGAAGTATTTAACTGGAAGCACAGATGTAAAATCAAGGTAGTAAATCTGACTCCTTCCATAGACTAATGAGCTCTGTTTAGTCTGCACCAGCAGATGGGCCATTACATCCTTATGTCTGCAGCATCAATTCTCTAATGGACTAGTAAATTGTATGAGCTTCCTGTCCTTTCACAAGTAGGCTTTTATCCATTCACGTCACTGACCAAGTGTCAATCAATGGTAGAGGGTCTCGATGTCTGCCCTGTTGGCAGACTATGATGGATCACCAGGCCATGGGTTCAAGGATTGTTCATAGTAGAATCCGTCCTGATGATTTCATCTGCAGGTTGAGGGGAAGGGTACATGTATAATTGATGGTTAGAGGGGGTATGAATACAAAACTCATGGAACTTGGTTTAAAATCAGAACTCTATCTAAACTGAAGTCTAAAAGAAGGAATCTCTTTTTATATTGTTACAAATATGCACATGATTACAGTAACTGTGTTTCTGAGTTGAGTATCTTGCAAACCAGTGATGTAGTTTGTTCCTTTACTCAGATTTTAAAAAAGCCACTATGGTTTATATTATTCTTAATAGTTTTTAGGGTTTTTTTTTTTTTAATAAAAGTAGAAATTATAACAGATAATTGTTAAGTTAATTTAAGGACTAGTTTCTGAGGAAGTTACAGTAATTCAAGTTGCAGCTCTAAGAATTAAGTAGGTGGAAAATATTAACAATGAATGAAAATGTCATATTCTATAAATAATTCATGAGCATTTTGCAGCCTCTGCAACAAGGCATTGTCAAATGTGAAATTTGTGGCATGTCAACTGAGGTTAGATTTTGTGTTATAGGGAGGGAAAGTCCAATGCACATTTAAATGGAGACTACCAGAGGATAGGGGACATTATGACATCAACATTTCCAAAGGTCTTACCAGTAAGTGCTAATTGTCATCATATTAAATGTGAGATTTTTTTTTTACAAGACTTGGGATTTGTTGTTGAATTTGCCCCTTCAAAATTCTTGGTTAAAGGTTCAGTTAAATGTAGTTATTTCATGCCATGTTTATTAAATGTTAGCAGAAATCAGAAATGTGTCTTTACCGATAGCTTACAACCATTTATTCCATTTACTGTCCATATCAAAGGATGAGAGTGTATATGTTGTAGTAGGGAATAAAAATTTCTCTTGTGTTCCTTAGCTTTATAGAAATTATCTACAACGACAAGAAGAGATTTTATTGGACCTGGAGCTGGCATTAAAGTCCCATAAAACATTTGAAGCCATGTACAGAGACTTTGAGAAACAAAAAGTGTGTTATCTCCCTTTGAATTCCTTCCTCCTTAAGCCAGCACAAAGAATTCTACACTACAAACTTATTATGGAACGTAAGTCTTGCGTTCAGTTAATGAGAAATCATACATTTAAACGCAGAATTTATGATAATTGATATTACTGTGTAATGAATATTTTTTTTTACTTAAATTACAATAATAATTTTAAATGATTTTTTTATTTGGTTTAATTTCTGTACAGATATATAATATTTTGCTTAAAATTTTTGCTAAATTTATAATAACTTGAAATGCATCCTGTACTTGCTGTTTTATACATGTAAATATGTCTATTGTATTTTGATTTTGTGCACAGAAGTTGATGCGATTCAGAAATACAGAAGAAATGTGAATTACTATTTTGTGTGATTTTTATTTTTAGGTTTAACTAAACATTACACACTGGACCATCCAGACTTTGCTGATTGTAAAAGTGAGTATGAAAAACTATTTGACATTTGCATTAATTGGGATCATTCCATTATAATTTAAATTTTTATGGTCTGAGAACTTGTATTTAAAGAAACAGGATCCTCTCTAAAAAAAAAAAAAAAAAAAAAAGCAATAAATTGGAATCATAGCGTAAGAGAATAGGTACATGTAAAACTTTGCAGACTGATGGTTCTTATGAAAAATAAATGATGAGATTCGTTTTATTTAAAATTTATGTACATGTATGAATGCTTTTTCTTTTCAATCTCTGATAGTGTTATAAGAGGGATTTTCCTTCTGTTGTAGATGCCTTAAGTCAGATAAATGCTGTGGTCACAGAATTTAGTGATTCTATTAGGTCACAGGTAGGTCACATTCTCTGAATCTGTAGACCTCCATCCCCACCTCTCCATCATTTGAAGCATTATGTATCTTATTTTGATGGCTGAAATTTGGTCTTTTTTTCAGGAGAATCTCCATAAGCTGATAGAATTACAGAGAGATTTAGTGGGGATTGACACACTTGTACACAGAGACAGGGTAAGTGTTTACATGGTTTTATAATGCTCTATCAACATAGATAATCTTTGTCCAAATCTTCAAACTATGCTAAATTTGTGAAAAACATGAAGGTGTTTTTGTTTCAAAAACAGATATTTTTTTTGGCTCCTAAAATTTCAACAGGAGTCAAATATTGAATATTTTTTTTTAACTTCATTTTCCAATAATTATTTTTAATGAACATGTCTGTGTTCATATACCTTCTGAATTATGGTTTGTCTTCTACTCCTCTTTGTAGATCTTCATCAGAGAAGGATGTCTGCAGAAATTCTCCCGTAAAGGTTACCAACAAAGAATGTTCTTCTTGGTAGGAGCAAGCTGGTATTTTATGTGGTAGAATGTTAATATGATTATTTGATTTTGTAAATGTTTAAACTTGATTTTTTTTGCTTCTGTTTTGTCAGTTTTCGGATTTCTTGGTGTACACTAGCCGTGTGGCATCCTCAGTTCTCCAGTTCAAAGTTCACGGACAACTCCCTCTACGAGGAATGATCGTAGGTTTTCAGTAATTTCCTATATTTGATATACTTAATTAAAAAATATATAAAGTTCTCTCCTTTGATATACAAATATAATCCTTAAGGGGGAATATTGGGTTTACTGTGAGTTAACAGTTTGATTTTTTTTAAATTTCCAGACTTTATTGTTTAAAAATGTTGTTATTGTTGCACAGGTAGAGGAATCGGACCATGCTAAAATGGCAGTGGCCAACAGCTTCGCAATCTATGGTGGAAATAAATGCATCTTAGTGGCAGCAAGGTCAGATTCAGAGTTGTTTTAATCATTTCATATTTATATACAAGAAAAACTAATTAAAGAGCAAGAGCCACTTAGGACCTTTTTTGGCCCTGTGAATTTCTGAAAATTCAAAACTGTATAGTTTTAGTCAACAAGGCAATAAATAATACTTGAGCACTTGGTGAATGAATATCTACTGAAAATGACGTAATTTTCTTTCTAGTCAATGCATTTTGACGTCGTGAATTGCGTCATTATTCACATATCCTGAATATTTCTTCAAAAATAGCCAAATTATGATGCCATTTTTCAATATTTCATATACAGCACAACCTCCGATCCAAAATGTATAAATATATTGTAAAAGAACTGTTATTGAAGATTATAAAACATATTTAATTTTTGGATCGAGGGATGTGCTCATATTTTAATTCTTTGCTGAAGGTTCTCAAAAACACCTGTTTTCTGCGAAAGTCAATAACATCGCAATTTCACACAACCTGTTGTTCAATGCCTGGACTCTTCAAAGGAAATTCTGTTGTATAAACTGAAAGCACTAAGTCTCTACTTTATAATAATGTTGAAAATGGTACAGGGGTATTAGTCAATAAATTGGTATATTCTACAGGGCCATTTTATGCATAAAGTGAACCTAGCTCTTTGCTTTGACTTAAATGTAAAATGTTCTGTTGTGCTGAATTGTAGTTATCAAGAAGAAAAAGACAAGTGGATTGAAGATCTGAATGCAGCCATAATACAAGCTAAAAGTCGTGGGGATGATAAGTTCAGATATCCTAGTCTCAAATCCTCAACAAGTAAGTACAGGGCTTGCCAAAAGTTGCAGGGATGATAAGTTTCGATATCCTAGAATCAAATCCTCAACAAGTAAGTACAGGACAAGCCAAATGTCCTGTGTGCAAACAGATCTGATATCCTAGTCTTAGATCTTCAACAAGTGAGTACAGTTCACACCAAAATAAATGTTGTTGATTAAGTTCCAAAACCAAGTCTTAAAGGGTTTTTATCACGTCTCAAAATTTTTTGGTATGACAAAGTTTACATGTTATTAAAATCATATATTTAAAAATCTTTGCTAGAAAATTAATATTGTTGATGTTTCAGCGATTCAAAGTTTGAATTTCTCAATATGCATATTTTGATCGCCAATGCTATGCACGATTGCTCTGACGTCATAGGTGTCAATCCTGGTCAAGCAAAGTACTTATTCTGTATACAAAACGGCTCATTCGTTGTGTCTATTAAACCTGTTAGTAAATAAATAAGTGATAATTGGATAATTGACAGCTAGTAAGGTATAATTTGTGGCTTTAGGATGCACAAATTCTCACAAGAAAGGTTTCAGGAAGACTTTTTTCCCACATTTCTTGGACTTGGTCGAGAATTGAAAGGGGCCCTTTTTTCTGCAAACGTGAGGGCTTATTCTCCATTCAGAACAATCGTTTATGCCCGATCATGATTTTTTTTCTATACTATAAAATATTTTAAGGACATAGTACCTTTTTTTAGAAAGGAAAAAATACTCGACACGCATTTTTAAAGTCGCACAGAATCTAGTACATGCTAGTGGGAATGTTGGTGAACTTCGTAATGGCGTACGGCGCCATCGAACAGTGTTGAAGAAATGTCATTTCTAGTACACGATATTCACTGGAACAGATAGAATATTTATGTATATACAGTTTTATTAAGATAATGAAGAAGTTGAATTTAAAATTCTCATATTTTTAAATATTTATGAAGTCCAACTTCAGTTATTTGTTCTATTTAGTCGGAAGTCCCGAGTTGTCAATGGCATCGTCTTCGGTGTCCTCTCCTATTGTCGGCATATTTTCTTGGTTATTTCTCTCTGCTAGACGTTCATACATAAAAGATTGACCGTCTATAACTGAAAGAATATCGTCGATGTCAAAATTTTTACCGATCTATTGTGTAGTGTATATTATTTAACGTCAAAATCTATTTGATACATTTAGTCTTACGATAAGCTTTACGAGTTCTAATTGACCATTGACACCTATGATGTTTCAGTACCACGTGACCCCTATCTAATTAGTAGAGATTTTTACCTCGAGAACTCTATATTACGGGTGTTTTATTGCCTAATTATGACTGTTCTCAAAGTAATTTCCTAATTAAACAGTAATTACATGTTTCAAGAATATAAAAGTGTTTCATTTTTAAAAAATTTAGATTCGTGAGAAAAACCCTTTAAATCCTCGAAAAAGTAAGCACAGGGCATGCCAAATGTCCTGGGGATGATAAAGTTCAATAATCTCAAATCCTCAAGTAAAACCAGGTCAAGCCAAAATACACTGGGATAAGTTCAGAAACACTAGTCTTCCGTGCTTTACATATAAGTACAAGGAAGCTAGAAGATGAAGGGGTATTAAGTTCTAACACCGACCGTACTCTCATACCCTCAACAAGTATAGGACAAGGCAAAAAATGATAAGATGATAAGTCCCTTTATCTAATCTCAGACAAACTTAAAGTAAGAGGATGGTAAGTTATCTAGGCTTCAGTCCTCAAAAGGCAGTAAGATATAAAAACCAAAAGTCATGGCTAATATAAGTTGTATCAATATTCTATCAAAATTCTTAAGTTTAAAAAATACATGTATTTCTTTATCAGTGAACAAGATATATACATATTAAAATGATAAGAAGCATAAATTATCTTTATTACTTGCATTTTAATCATTATAAACAAATTATTGTATAATTAATTTGTAAATATTTCCAGGTTCCTCAGACAATGTAGGGGTGGATGGTGAAGTGAATGGGGTGTCACAGGACAAGAATGTCCAGCACAGAGCCAACACCACCATGCATGTGTGCTGGCACAGGAATACCAGTGTCAGTATGAGGGATCACGAGAGAGCAATTAAGGTATCCACAATACCTGAAGAAAATCAGCAATAGAAATAACTGACCCAAATCAATAATAACTGACCAAAATCAATCAGCAATAATTGATCAAAATCAATCAGCAATAACTGATCAAATTTAGTTTCCTTTATGTTTACAATGAGCACTTTATATCACCAGTTTTCTCCCACAATATAATTATGCAACTTTTTTGTCATTTTTTCATGTATTTATCTGCTTTTGCCCTGAATGACATATGGGGAGATTTACAGAGATTGTGATGAATTGTTCTTGACTTTTCAGAACCAGTTGAGCGGTTACCTACTGAGGAAGTTCAAAAATAGTAATGGCTGGCAGAAGTTGTGGGTCGTTTTCACCAACTTCTGTCTTTTCTTCTTCAAAACATATCAGGTATGCTTCTTTTTGCTTATTAAGTAATGAGATTTGATTCAAATGTATTTTTGCTTTGGGCAGTATGCAGATAACTGAGTACAAATTTTGAAGAGCTATACATACCTGTATTTGTCAGCTTCAAAAAAAGAAATGTCTACCATTCATTGGTTACTTAATATTTTTGTGTAAAGTAGTAATCAATCAACTGAAGAAATTTTCCAAGTTACATGACATGGTTTAGTATTGTATATATATGTATATGCCTTCACGAAAATGCATTACTATTTACAGGACGACTTCCCTTTAGCCAGCCTGCCATTGCTTGGTTACGCTGTAAACACACCTGAGGATGAAGATGGCATTCACAAAGACCATGTGTTCAAGCTTCAGTTCAAAAATCATGTTTACTTCTTCAGAGCAGAATCTGAATACACATTTGAAAGGTGCGGCAGTTATTATTAACTGTAATATAAAGTTTTACATATCAGTATAATGATCTACCTTACATTAAATGGGAGTAAGTAATTAACCTTTCTGGTTTATTGATTCTGTACTTGTTTAAATTTTCAGCATCTTAAAATATAAAGTATTTAACATTTTAAAGATTACACTGAGAAGAATTGGGAATTTAAAAAAAATGACACTTTGGCAGTCTCATAGATGTGTTGTGACATGTCAGTAGGGATAAGTAAAAAGAAAAAAATCTCTGCAGTGCCAGTATTTCTATGCTTAGTATTTTATTTCAGGTGGATGGAAGTTATCAACAGTGCAACAAACAGTGCCAGAAGAATCCGCCTCTTCAGTCGATTGGACAGTAATCAGCCAATCAGTTCTTAGCAGTTCTCTTCTCTTTGACAGAAATTAACCAATCAGTTTTCAGCACAAAGTTGTTTTTTTTTTTTTTAAATTCAATCATGGTATTGAAATTGGTTTATCACAGCAGAGGCATATCTTGCAGTGAAAAATAATTTAGCCAGTGAATTAAACAACAAAAAAGGCCTCCACATACAGTGTTATTGGTACGTTCACTGTGGAACTGCACAACATCATGTTAAATTAAAACGAACAAAGATTCCATTAAATTTACACAGAAATCATTTGCCCTAGTCAAGCTTTTCGCACTTTAGTTTTGTGTTTTGTTGCATCTTGTTTTACATGAATAGATTTTGAATTTTGAATTTCTTTGCATTTTTTATTCCCCTGCCAGCAGCTGTATTAGAATCTATGCAATAGTATACAGTGTAAATCCCTGTCTACATTTGATGTATTAACAAATTATAGATATTAGAAATCAAAATCAGCAACATCCATGTAAACCCACTTCCATAAAAGGCCTGTTGCCAGGTCAAATGTACATGTATTTCATATGCTGCTATTTTTTAATTTCATATTCATTAACCGTCACCCCCAGTAACATGTAATCAAAGTGTATTTTATTATGGTAACTCTGTTATATGCAATTTAAAGGAGAACAAATTTTCACAGAAGGGAATAAGAAGATAATGGCAGCATTAAGTACGTCTATGTTGTGAACCCCATTCCAGGCTGTACAAAAACAATAACGATGTGTTGCTATAAAGTAGAAACAATGTGTTTATTGTAATTATTAATTTAACCATATTTAGGTATTCATTAGGAAACATCTATATTTTTTCGTATAAATATATTAAAAGTATTATCACCTGAGTTACTCATTGTATAATTTCTACAAAACAGTAATGTCTATTCTAGGTAATGTTTTTTTTTTGGGGGGGGGGGGGGGTTCTTTAGAAACTCTCAAACTAAAATTCATCAGCTTTGTTTTTTAAATGGGTTGTGTTATTCAGTATTCTGAGACTATACCAACGACACATGAATTTAATCTGAAACTTTGACAGTTAATTAAGAAAATGTTAATCAGTATGGATGTGGTTAGGGAATTTTTTATTCAGATTCACATAAAACCTTCTCATGCTTTGATTTTGTTTTTTTTTTTAATTTCCTGTACAATGTAATCAATTTGCTTTTAGTCCATTAAATTTCTGTGAAAAAAAAAAAAAACAAGGTAGATTTGTAGCATGTACAAAATATTTTCTTCAGCAGTATTTCAACAATGATTTAGCTGTTGCATCCATTTTGTTGGGAATTTTTAAGTTTTCATTATACATTTAGCTTTTATGTTTACATTTTTGTTTTAGTTGAAGGTTGTTTAGAGAGGAAATTTTATTTATCCTTATTTTTACAAAAGATTTATTTTCTACTCTGTGATTTTGTGGAAGAAAAATTTTAATTAATGTTCTAATTCTAGGTATTTCTGAAGGGGAAAAAATTATCGGTTTTAGTTGCCTAGCAACAAATATTTGGGTGATTGGAAATGAGAGGTTATGAAATGATCTCTTGGTGCATGTATTTATTTCTTTACTTGAATATGTTTTCAAAAATGGGAAGTTTAATATACAGATAAGAAAATATATGTGTGCTAATGAAATTTTAAAATGTTTGCAAGCTTGTTCAATTTATCTCTGATTTGTGGTCATGCTTTATGTAGAATGAGAGCAAAATTTCTGATGCTTCACATTTCTTGAAGTCTGTGTTCATTGGTATGTTCTAAACACTTGACTGAATAAAATATCAATGATTCTGTATGCAGTATATGTACATGAAGGAAGATATATGATATATGTTCACAGTTTCTATAACTGTTGGAAAAAATATATATAATTTCAAGTCATAACCTTTGCTGTTCTGAATTTATGAAAGACGATAATGCATTAAAAAGTAAAGATCCATGTTTTATTACATGAAGGCATTTTGTCCTTATACATGTTAAACATAATGACACAAGGAATTTTTGTAAAGCCTAAATGTATCTGGAATATTTATTTTTCCTGGTGCTTATATATCTAGAGAATTGTACATAAGAATTACACAACATGTTAACTTGTGAATACTATATGAAATGAATCTTTTTTTTTTAAACAATAAAAATACACTTAAAACTATTATGAGTGTTTTAAAGTCTTTCATTAGAACTCTGCTTAAAAAGTGGCAGGTTTTTTTTAAGAGTGCTAATTCTATTGTACTGCAGAGCCCTTATTTGAAAATCCATTGCAAGATATTTATGTCCACTCCTCTCTAGATAGATATTTTTCCACACTAATGTGTGCAGTTGTTTGCCATCCTTTATCTTTTGTCTATCAGATGATCCAGTTTCTAAAGAAATAGTTTAAGATATGTTCATTATTTTAAACATGAATTCATCTTGCTTAGGGAGTGAGAGGGGTGGTTGCAACATTGCAAAAATCTTGACTTTTTAATTACCCCAACATCTAAATTTTTTGAACACCTGTACTTTGGACTTCTTTAGGTAAATTTCTAAATGGACACTAATTATGCATCTTGTTCTGACAGAGTATTTACCTTTCTCATCCCTGTGAATTTTATCTGGAGTCTTGATATTTGGCTAATATGTATTTTATTGATTACATTGTAGGATTTCTTTATACATGTTTAAGTTCATAGATTTCCTGTTATGTAATATATAATTTAACATACTGGCTAGTGGTTTAATCATGAAAAGGGCTTGTAGATCATGGGAAGAGTTTTCTTTTCTTTTGTGAAGATGCATACATGTAACTGATGTGCATCTGAAACAGGATTTTACTTCAAGTGGTCAAAGACCCATGAGTATATCTGTGATGGCAAGGTGTCAATATGTTTGTAAACAATTTCTCAGAATGCTATACCTAATAGTATACAATTTCAAATAGGATTGTCCAAATAGAACCCCCTTCCTGGAGCAACCAAGAAAGGCACGCTTTTAAAATAGCTTTGAAGAATTAGGTCATCTTGCTATAATATTATGCTTTGGTCGTGATCTGTCTTAGTGTTAAGTACAAAAAATATGACCATCCACAGGCCAAGAATTAAAGTGTTGTGTCAATATATTTAACTTATGAGTCATGTCACCTTGAACTTATGCAAATAATCAAAGCATAAGATGATGATGGAACTCTTTGTCATAAACAATCTGATGCATGGTTCATTAAATAAACGTTTTGCCTTTTAGAATTTACATTTCTCAGATCTCCAGAATTTGACACATCTGAAATATGTGATCTTGACCTTATCTAAATGACCTTTGTACGAATTAACCCTTAGGGCAAGTATTATCTTCCAAAGTCATTTCAAAAATTATGTTATGGACAAGTATGAACACTTCACAACATTGACTTTTACCTCGTCCAAATGACCGTGGTGTAGGGTTGTTACATTCATCTTGACACAAGCAACTTTTGTGCCTAGTGTATTTAACTATGATTTTTTTTCCAGTCCATTGTAAGAATTTTGCAAACGAGTTGCCTAGCTAAGATCAACAAACACCCTCAAGTCACAAACAACCTAAATCTCGCATATCAGATTTTAATGCTTCTTCATTTCAATGTTGTGTCTAGAACAATAATCTAATTTACACCTGTGCCTCAGACTTGTCAAAAATGTCCTTGGCACAGAATGACTGTGAAGGTAGCCTTTAGGCACTACCTTTCAGTTGTACAATGTATGGGCCTCGAAAGTTTCTTTGTTTCAAAGCTGTGTCCAGACAAGAATTTCAATTTTCTTCCGGTCAAAGAAGTTACCAGTATGTATAATGAAATCATAAAAAAGAAAAAAATATGACCAAGATCACATGTTTAGATGTTTTATCTATTCTACAAAGGTTGAAAAAAAATACGACCTTAACGGAGAGTTCTTTAACGTGTGTCAGTGCAATTTTTTTACATCCCCCCCCAAAAAAAAAAAACAAGGATACAATATCGATATATTTGAAAAGATGAATAGAAAAAAAAATATGGATCCTAGATTTAAACAGAAAAAATGAAGGGGTTCCATGCCTTGACAACTGTTTCTTCAATAAAAATGGAAGTCGTAAATCTGCTTCAGGCCCGTAGGAATTTTAAGCAATTGCAGATTTCAGTTGGGGGGGGGGGGGTATCATACATTTTTCAGTTGGGGGCACTATCAACTACCAAACATTCCTTGACAAGCCAAAAAAAAAGGTCATCAGACGTTATTTTTGAGGGGGCACAAGCTATGTTTTAAATTATTATGGGGCCCGGTTCCTACGGCCATGTGCATACGTTGTCGTTGGTCTGCAAAACAAACACTTTTTTGATTAAAAAAAAAAAACATTCTGATTTTACACACAAGTACTCTGAAGGTGGTATTAAAATAATAATAATAAAATAAAATAAAAAACGCTTATCAAGTATCAATGAGTTTCTCATTGACAATATCTATGTAGTTTTCGGAGACAGTCCTTCCAAGCATCTTTTGGAATTTCCATGGGTTCTAATTGTGACCTGTTATTATCAGACCTATTTTTATATTTATATGAAGTAGAGTAATTTTAAAACTTCTACATGAAAAGAAGAGATCTCTTGCTATGACCTTTAACTGGACGTTTAGCTATATCGATGACGTTTTATTAACTAACAGTATTCATTTTTATTCCTACGTTAACTTGATCTATCCCAATGAACTCGAAATAAAAGACACCACAGAGTCTGATACATCTGTTTCTGTTTAAATGTTTTATTTGAGCCAAAAGATATTGATGGCAAACTGACAACTAAACTTTATGATAAACATGATGACTTCAACTTTTCTATCGTCAGGTTCCCTTATTTATGAAGCAATATATTTTTATCACCTGCATATGGAGTTTTTGTCTCCCAGTTGATTCGATATGCAAGAACATGGTCTACGTTCAATCACTTTATAAAAGGAAACAGGCTGTTGACAAATAAGTTGATGATACAAGGATATCAACAATCTCTTTTAAAATCAGCATTTTGCAAATCTATGGTCGATACTATGACCTTGTTTGTAAGTAAAACTGTCGTTAAGTTGAATTTTGGCTGACGTCTTTCATACAAATTGTTTTCAACCTGAGCTGTCTGCGGATTTGATCATGACAAAGAGCACACGGCGGGTGTGACAGGGACAGGGAATGCTTACTCCTCTCTTCTGTATTCAGAGGTTCGCGTTGGCTTCTGCACGTAACTGTTCGCTTACCTCACTGTTCGTAATCTTCACATTTCATATTAAGGATATCTTCAGCCAGGAAATAACTCTCAAGTTTATTATTTAATTTTAAAAAATCTCAAAATGAGGCTTGAAATTGAAATCTTTTTGTGCAATAATATTCATTTTACATCATCTCAATATTATTCAAGATTCTCTGAAGTCTTAGAAACCGTCTTGTAAAATGTGACATTTGTACCCCCATAAAAGTAAAAATTAATAGTTATACATATTTAGAGAAATCGAATTACAATGTAGCTTTAATCTAGCCATAGATGCCAATGTCTATATCAGCATAATATGAAAGTAGAAGTGATATGTGATGTCTTGCAATGATAGCACAAGCTTATTACGCTATGACATATTAAAATCAATTAATATGTTGTGTCTGGTACTGCAAAGCTGCAAGCACAGGCCTTTAGTTCGCTTTAATCTCACTAACTGGGGGCATAAAAAAAATTGTCAGTCGATAGAAGAGATCTGAAGCTTATGGCTGCAAGTGCATATATATAGTTCAATGAACTATAGGAAGAAAGAGAAAGAAAAGAAATAGTTTCTCCCTATAATCCTGGAAATGAAGAATCTGTCCTGCACTGGCATGAAAATAAATAATCTGACTAAAGAAGTGCCATCCCCCTCCCCTCTCAGAATCAAATGGTCGCCCCCTCGGTATTTGTTCTTAATCAAGCGAATTTCCCCCTGACTTAGATGCTTTCAGTCTGTGATATCGTGCCCGGTACTTCTTGTTGTTCTTTTATGCCCTATTATTTCTCATTGTGAGTCTGCTCATCATCGTGCATTTTACTTTTTACCCTATTGGAGCTACTTTTACACCGTTCAGGATTCCGGAAAAAATAATTCCACATGTCACCCGCTTTCTTTTTTTCCGTCCAACCTGCACATCCGATATTTTACAGGATTTTGCTGCCTGGTAAGGCTGGTTGGTTTTGCATCGATTCTGGTAAGTATTATATACGTTTAAGTATACATTTTTTTTAAATCATTCATTTAGAGATCTTTACTATGACAAAGATGTCCTTCACTATGATTTCAGTCTTCACTAGTGTAACAGAAGAGGAGAATTATGCGACGAACCAGACCGGGATTCGAACCCAGGCCCCTTGAATCTCGACTCTAGTCAGTTTCTCTACCAACAGACCAACTGAGCTATTTGGTCACCGGCGATCGAACCTGTCTGACCGCTTCATTCCTCCCTCCTTAAGGTCTTCGCCCCCGAAGACACCAACCCACTGGCGATGGAACCCGTCTGACTGCCACACAATAATAGTGTCACTTTGATAAACAAAATGGGCACAGCCCAACAAATGGTGGTTTTATCATATATGGCAAGAAATTAGTTCTTCATTTTATGTGATACTTTTGTAGGTACCACAAGCACTTGTTTCTTATATGGGGTCACCCCTTTCTTTTCTTTCAATAAGGTACCTAACTCAATGATTTTAGGCACCCCCGCTTCAAGCTTGTATTTTGTCAATATATATATGAATCATTAACCTACTTTAAATGACATTGTCTGCTTCGAGAGACTTTTTTCTTGTCAAATAAATTGTTTCAGATGTCTCTGGTTGAGCCTCTTTATTGTAAACCACTCATTTAATCCTCGAAAATTACCTCGATACATATTAAGACTAGGTGGGATACAAAACTTTTGATTGGGGTTATAAATGTAAGATAAAACCAGAGACCTCAGAATGGAATACTTGGAAGTCTCTGGTTTAATTTTTTAAATACTAAAAGATTTTTCTCTCCCATATCAGATCAGTTAATACCGATGCCGATATGGGTAATTGATGACCAGACGGGGGTTTAACCACCATTTGGTAGGCTGTGCCAAACCCATCTTCGCTAGCCAAGGGTTTCTGATACACTACTCTCCTCATAAGCCCTTGGCATACGGTGTTGAAAAAAGTTGGGATTTTTTTCTCAAGTTGTGATTGGAGTTGATCGACATCGTTCGACCAATCAGAAATTGTTTTTGTAAATGACGATATTTGCGTTCGGGATATATCTTGACTCTTTAATATCGGGAATGAAAAACGCAAGCAAACAACGATCCGTAAGATAACATGCCATTCTATGAATAGTTATATGGTGTCATCCAAATATCTTAAGCTACGTGCAAAATATGTGATTAAGAATCTATACTGAAGATGTAGATTTGCATTTTAACATGTTTAAATAACAAATTAACATAATTCAATACCTTCTTGTTAATTATTCTTTAAAAACATTTAATATATTTTTAAATACGCTTTTTATTTCTGTCGATGACGCAATCTGTGCGAACCTGGTAAGAATCGTGATCACGTGACGAAAACAATCCTGTCTTTTGTCAGCACCGTATGCCAAGGGTTTATGAGGAGAGTAGCGTATCAGAAACCTTTGGCTAGCGAAGATGTGCCAAACCTGATATTTTCACGTTAATACACAAAAGCTGCGTCTCTTTGATGTTATTTTAAGAAAAAGTGTTTCCCCCCATTTTGGCCTTTTCAAGTTTTATTATAGACCCTGACACATTGATGTGGGCCCTAAGCCCTGAAGCAATTTACATTGTATTTCCTAATCATAAATATATTTCGAATTTATATAAAACTAAACAAGGACTCCATGTAAAAGCATGCATTCATCTCACACAGTATGTATAGTTTAATTAAATGTCACAGAAATATTTATAATTATTATATATTTCAGAATTAAGGATTATGAAGTGGAGATGGATGTCAGCACAAAGATAAATGGGCAAGAAAAGTTTAGAGAGGACAATGGTCATGAAATGATTGACAAATATATTCAAGTTGATGGAGGTACTGAAAATCAGAGTCACTCAATTACCAACATCAAGCTGAAGGATGATGAAATACGTGAGGTGGATCATGAACTTTATGAGGTAGATTATGAAATTAATGAGAAGGAAGGACTTTGTGATGAGGATGTAAATAAAACTACCATTACAATAAAGATAAGTGAACAATGTGGAAGAAAATGTGAGAGACCCTACATATGTGAAGTATGTAACAAAGCTTTCAAACAGAAATCCCATTTATCAAGTCACATGCTGATTCATACAGGCGAGCTACCTTATAAATGTGATTACTGTGAGCAGGGCTTCCGACAATCCCACGCATTAAAAAAGCACCTTACAGTACACACCAAGGACAAGCCATACACGTGTGGTGTCTGCCACAAAAGTTACCCCCTCAAACAAGTATTAGAAACTCACATGAGGATACATTTAGGGGAAAGGGATCATATTTGTCCAGTTTGTGGACAAGGTTTTATTCAGTACTGTAGTATGAAGAGACATATGATCACACATTTGGAGGAAAAACCTCACAAATGTGACATTTGCGGAAAGTCATTTGCACGACGGTACAAACTGACCAATCATTCCAGAATTCATTCGGGTGAAAAACCTCACAGTTGTGACCTTTGTGATAAAGTTTTTAAATCTCCAGCTCAATTATCGCAGCATCGGACCGTTCACACGGGTGATCAGCCTTACAGCTGCAAGATCTGCAACAAGAAATTCAGTCGACACTCCAACATGACCAATCATTTGAAGAATGTTCACAAGAATGGGAAGTTATGTGTTGGTAAGAAATCCTGGGATTGTGAATTATGTGGGAAGTCGTGGACTTGTCAATCTCATTTACTGAGACATCTCACATCTCACACGGGAGAGCGGAAGTTTATATGTGAGCTGTGTGGAAATCGGTACTGCGACTCCAGTGCTCTTTATAAACACAGGAAAAAAATCCATAAGAAAAAACGTTAGATATATGCCTATGGCAGCAGTATAATGGCTATTTGAAAAGTCTACTAAATGCATCTTAATTAGTGATGTCTCTCAATTAAAGTACATGTACCGGACTACCGGTACATGTATATAGTATATTAGAACATCTATCTACCGGTATATCATTATATGTGGTCGTTACATACTGTCAAGTTGGGCATATTAAAGAAACTTGAATCTTATTTATTGTTGTTTTACTGATTCAGAATTTTTAAAATTCAAAAAGAAATTTAAAAAGGGAGGATTGTTTTCCTAAAAATAACAAAGCAGATTTGGGTGCGGCATGTTGAATTTTCATACTTACCATTGAAATTTTATCAATTTGAATGTTTATAGAAAAGTATCAAAATTTTGGAAAAAATTAGGTGAAGGATGTAAAGATACTTCTCTCCATTTTTATATATTCTTTAATTAGCAACATCCTTATTATTTACCATATGACTCCCCAGCTCAAACCGTACAAACCAGAAAAGCTATATGCATGTTCTACTTAAACATCAGATTTCCCCTCCACCATCCATATCATTGAAGTTCTACACTTTGCAAACATTTTCCAATATCTAGCTACACTGTATTACATTAAATTTTACCAAATTTAGTGGGTCAAATCATGAAATGCTCTGTATTCTCCTGTGTAAACATTTATTCTTTTCACATTGTGTACTTTCTGATTAGCATGGCTATATGTGGGTTTCAGTAGTCTGCCCCTTTGCTTGTATTTTACCCACATAATTCCATGTAACAACATTTTGCATACAAAGACTAACAGTAATGATAAATGTCATATATTAAGCTGATGAAATGAAAAATAAACAAAGTGAATGTTTAAACCTGAACAGATTGCTGTGGTCAACTCCTCCACCACTGCATTGCTAAAGGGAAATAACTACTTCATGTGATGTATTTTAATGGAAACTGATCCCATAGTAGTGTGTCAATGACACTACCACCATTACAAAAGATACCATACCACCTTCAGTACCTTCTTACATGTGCTTGTTAGTGCATGAATAAGTTTACAGAATACAAAGTGCTAAAATGTTGCCCAGAAAATACTGTGGAACTTCAATGTCTCAAACATTGGTACATGTATTTCAAATACCATAGAGATGTTAAAGTGAGTTGGTAGTCCCGACCACTTTCCCTTTAATATGTATTTTAATTCGATATCTCGAATCCTCGGTCGCCAGATATCTCAAAAGGTTTTTTTTTCAGTCTCTTTGAGAGAGAGATAATGAAGATTGACTATTTATCAATCAATTTATATTCATAAAAATAAAATTTTTATCTATTAATGAATACAGTAAACTCAAGTCTGTAAACATTGTTGCCTACTCAGTGCCTTTAGTGTAATATTTCAATCAACTAAAATCAAATTCTTCTGCAGATACTCTATGGTACATGTATAGACTCTTGTGATGTATATCAGACATATATTATTACAACTTTTGCCTAGATGTGAAGATTTCTTTCAAATAAAGATTGTTATCGTCCATTTTTTTCACTCATTTTTCACGTTCTTTTATGTCCCATTGCAATAGAACAAACTGTATAGAGTGTGCTGCAAAATTATACACATTTACACAATGTATAGATTGTTCATCACAGATATATTATAAAAGATCACAGTGAATCACACATGTTTCCATATTTTCATTTCAAGATTTGTAGCCTGAGCAATTAATTTGAGGTGTTGTCATAAATTAAGCATTCAATGGACTTTGACCTTCATCAGCTGACCTTGACCTTTCTGGCATTTTTAAGTCGCAAAAGGGACGCAAAACCAAACAGAAATGTCTGGAAGCACCATTTCATGGTTGCAGAAGAACTGAGGTTTTTATTCCTGAAAAGAAAATGTGTACATGTACATAGCAATGCATTCAAAAATGTACTTAAATGTTGCAAACAAAATATATAAACATTATATTGATATTATTTAAAATACATATATTTTATATACTGTATAATAGCTGTGTTTAACTTATCATCTTGCACACAAACATGCATGAGAAATTCTGAAAACTCACGCATTCAGTTTCCCTTTTAAATACATGTGTACGTTCATTCTCTGCAAAGTTAGATAACTCTTGCTAAGTATTCCATGAGCCAGTCACATGATTGAACTATTGCTGTCTCAATTTCTTGCAGTATGATGATGTAAAAAGAAATTAGTAACTGCATTATACCTGCCCTCCTAGTTCCACATACCTGCAGACCTTTACAGAATACACTGCCTCTCCCACATGTATGGCAAATGTCACATAGAACCTGTAGAAAATAAGTCAACTTTCAGAAAGATCTTACAAATGTAAAATTAAATACATGTATGAACTTATTTAAGCCCTCAAAGTTTCATTTTCTTTTATTCAAACATATGAAACATTCTCTCTCTCTCTCTCTCTCTCTCTCTCTCCCTCTCTCTCTCTCTCTCTCTCATTACCATAGCTTGGTAACAACATAAACATAGTCATGATTTCTGAAAAAAAGTGTTTGAATTGATTTCATCTCTCGGGTTAGGCTCTACATTGATTCTACATTTAAAATTCACATTCACTTTAAAACTTCAAAACCTATGAGGAAGGGATAAAAAAATAAACAAACAAAAATTTCAAACAAATGAGTATTAACTATTTTACATGGATCAAAATAATGTGTACATTTGTGCATAATGCAGGCTTATTTTTCAATAATCATTTTTAGTAAATCTGTCAGTAAGTCAGTTTAAATGATAGACTCATCCCAAATATACCTCATACAGGGCATAAATGGTGTTTATTTGTAAAAATCTATCTTTAGTTGCTAAAAGTGAAAGAAAACTGGAACAAAACATTTGATACAAGATGCCCATGGGCCAAAACACTCACCTGAGTCACTTTGGCCCTGCTATTCTGCATTGAACATTTCCCAATATATATATATGATTCCTATGTATTTTTGACCACCTCTTGTGGTTGTGATTTTAACAAAAATGAATCTACACTACCAGGGATGCTTCCACATAAAGATGATTCAGCATGGCTTTGCTTTTCTTGAGAAAAGCAGTTTTAAAGGTTTTTTCCCCTAAATAATCCCTATTGTGGCCCCACCCTACCCCCAGGGGACACAATTAAAAGAATTTGCAATCTACACTATCCCAAAAAAAGCTTTTACATCAGCTTTTCTGGTCCAGTGGTTCCTGAGAAGATTTTTAGATTTTTTTTTTTATATTTAGATGTAAAACTTTGATATCCTATTGTGGGCCCATCCTACTCTTGGGGGCCATGATCTGAACAATTTACAATCTACACTACTCAAGGTTTAGCTTTTCTGGCCCAGTGGTTCTTGAGAAGAAGATTTTTCCTATATATTTCAATTAAAACTTTGATGCCTAATTGTGGTCCCACCCTATCCCCGGAGGCTATGATTTGAACAATTTAGAATCTACACTACCTCAGAAAGCTTCCACATAAGTTTCATTTTTTTCCCAGTGGTTCTTGATAAGAAGATTTTTCAATGACCCCACTCTATTTTGCCTTTTCTTGATTATCTCCCCCTTGGAAAGGGGCTTGGTCCTTTATTTTAATACTTTAGAATCTCCTTTACCCAGGGATGCTTTGTACCAACTTTGGTTAAAATTGTCCCAGTGGTTCTTAGAAGTTGAAAAGTTTACAGATGGACGGCCAAACAATGGATGCTAAGAAAAGCTCACTTGAGCTCTCAGTTCAGATGAGCTAAAAATATTGATTTGTTTGTATTTTCAAAGTGTCAATTTATCCAAAACCTATGGGCATGGATGATGCTAAACATAGAATTAACTTTGGACAGCCTTTCCACTGAAAAAAACAAGCAATGTAGGCAATAATATAAGTACATTAAATAATTGGGATTGTGCTACACTACAAATATTTCATGAAGAATAAAAGTTTTTCATTATCATACATTAATTACAGTTAATAGGAATTTTCCTTAGTTACATAGTTACATATTCTGATAACAGGTGGGGGGGGGGTTTACAGTCAAACCTCGTTATCTCAAACTTGATGGGACCGAGAAAAAACTTTGAGATATCTGAGGATTCGAGATATCAAGGGTAAAAATTCTTAAAGAAGTAGTTGGGACTTCCAAATTACTTAGACATATCCATGGTATTCGTGATATCGGTGTTTGAGATACCACGACTCCACTGTATATACATTAATTGTACTCATCAGTGGGATGATATTTGCATTGATTGTACTTGCATACTTTTGATAACAGTGGGGTAATTTTTTTTATTGATTATACAAGAGATTACCTTTTCTTGATAAAAGTGGGGTAATTTTTACATATTAGATTGTACAAGTTAAGCTACAGCGAGCCTGTAGAGCCATTGAATTGGTGACTGCTTTACATTACTGTGTACTTACATATTCTTGATAACAGTGGGGTAGTTCTTCCCCAGGTAAGTACCCAGCTGTCCTAGTGGTCCAAAAATCCATGGAATTCCTTCAGGGTCATAATAAGCCCACTAAAATTAAGAATTAAAAGTCTCACTTGATAAGCTTATAAACAGCTTTTTCTTCTTTTTTTCATTTACGGAGTATAAATTTTTGCAAGAGAACTGAAGTTTTGAAAATAATTTGGTGAACATAACCACTCCCCCTATTCCTGGACAATGAAGTTGGTAAAATTTAACAAGGCCTGGTAGTTGTCTTTTGGTTGCCAAATGTGTTTAGGAAGAAAACTACAATGTATATCTGTTCCCTATCTGCATCCATATGAGAGGGAAAAAAATATTTTATAGGGTTCGACACTAATATTTTTAGGCATTAATCCGACCGGACTAGTGCTTCTTTACTTTTACTAGTCCACACGCGATTATATGAGTCCGTCAAAAGAAAAGGAAAATGAATGTTTTGTAACAATTAATTTAAAAATAAATATTACAATGTAATTACATACCTTTTTTTAAATAAAGCATTTATGTGAAGTGATTTATTCCACAGATTCTTGAAATCTCTCGATCTGGATCGAAGTACGATCGTATTAATTCTCGATCCTGTTCTTTTTTCTCTATACATTACACCCAATATGTTCGACATCTTTCTTTTATGTGTCATACCCGGTACTTAATTGTGATCGCTTATTAAATGTTTAACTTCATATCAATCAGTCCTAAAATTAATCAGTGAATTGACTCGGAATTAGCTAACTACCCGCCAAGAATCTAGAAAGCTAAAAATACATGCGGGATTTCCCTGTAAAAGTTGTCAAGAATCCAACATTGGTAACTAATTCATTTTATTTTCCTGAAATTATTAGTTCGTTCAGACCAATTAGCCACATATTTTATTAGTCCGAATGAAAATGTACTAGTCTGAGACTAAAGGACTAATGTTAATGTTGAACCCTGTTTTACAAAAGGACTGGGGAGAGGACTTAACTGGCAATAAAAATATTTACTTTATAAGCAGATTTTCCCCCATGATTTATTTACCAAAACAGGGTTACTTACATACATGTTCATGTACACCGATTCTCTAAAACTTCATTTTTTAGAAAATGACTGAGAATGTGCATGTTTAAGATTATTCATACATGTATCTATGAAACGCATGTACAGATGCAGTGTTAAACTGTATGAACTAGGGTTATACCGAAGCATTTTCCCTAAAGTTAAGTATGAGCTGAAGAAAATTATACTGTAATTATAATCATTAATTGACTATTAAATATATACAAAGGTGTGTTTATTTAAGAAATAAAGTCCACGTTATCGTGAATGTTGCAGGATAACCTCCGAGGTCGAGAAATGTTGTCTGAAATATAAAAGCCGAGGCGTTAGCCGAGGCTTTTATATTTCAGACAACATTTCGAGACCGAGGAGGTTATCCTGCATCATTCACAACAACAAGGACTTTATTTCTATTCTACTAACGGCTCTAAAATACAGTTGATCGTTTTCTCTAAAGAGAAACGAATTAGGTCACCATGTCGCAATTCCGCTGTTCCATTTAACACCAGAGGGTCAATCGATTGCATAAAATGCAGACGATTTTAACTTTTGTTGGATTAAAAATATCCTTTAATTATTTATAAATTTGCTTGTAACATAGATTGATTAATTTTTATGAATGAAAAATAACAAAATCAGTTGTCTTTTTCATTGATTTATCAGTAAAATCACGGGAGTGTAAATGTTGTGGGGAGGTCCGTAGAACAGCCCCATTTGGCTATAAAAATGGATATTTATCAGCTGTTTCAGGCAATACACACGTTTAGACTGCGGAAGACAACACATCGATGTGGTCTAAATAAGTATTAGATTATACAGTGAAATATTTATTTCAACTGTACAGATTTGACATGTGTTTCTGATCTGATAATTTTTTGATGACGTTCGTGATTTATTGGAGAATAATGTCCGCGGCATTTCTTTGATCTCGGCAATAACCGTAGTAGAATTCATAATAATTAAACATGCCAAAAGCGCATTATTCAGTTTGAATGCACACCAGTATGGTTTAAGCATAACACCATAAAATACAAACAAAAAAAAAAAAAAACCCACATAATATTCTGTATTTGATTTAGTGTGAATGGAACGCCCCCATCAAAAATTACCTGTCCAAGTCATCCAGAATCTAGACAGAACAGCAAGATGGGGGTAAAAATGTGTTTCCCCCCAAAGATGAAGTAATTGTGGCATTGCTTACTGTTAATACTGTAAGACCAGCAGATATTGGAATCACCCAACCAATATGTGCAAACCGAAAGTAGTTAGGGTCGTTTCTTTCAGCCATGTTTTTTGTCTGTCTCCATCCGTATTACTAAATCCAGAGGATTTCCGACACCCCTTGACCTTCACACAGGAATTCGGTAATTAGGTCAAAGGTAAACTACAGGCTAACTTCAAAAATTGTTACCCATTCATGATTTTGCAACAAAAAAAAAATATGCAAAAACCTGTAAATCATTGAGAGCATATATTAACGAACTAATATAACGTTTAATATAGTTTAAAGAGGAACTCGTATATATAACACTGCTGTAGCAGTAATTAACCCCCCCCCCCCGGCGCAATCCCTGATCAGTCCAGGATTTTTGAGTTTGGTTAGTTTTCAACTGGTTTTCCCTGTTTTTTTAATTTTGTTTTTAAATATTATTTAGCTTTTTTGATATGTATATTTTTTTCGGTTAAACTTTTAAATAAAAATGCTACCCCCCCCCCCTTTTTGTTGCTGAACGGTCAAACAAACCCAAATTCCAGCATCTGAAAAAATGAAAGGAAGTTAGAGAAAGCCCAATACCCCCCCCCCCCTCCCCCTTTATAGGATTTTCGAATTTTGTTTGCTTGTTTGTGATTTTTGAAAGCTCGCCCCTTAAAATCGTTGATACGGACTTAACTGCTTCTAATGAAATAAGTCACTTTTTCATTTAGCACATTTCACACACAGACTTCATTGTTTCTGTAATAAAATTTACCCCCAATAATAATATATTCAGTGTAATAAAATGCTATATAGGTGTGAACTTTGATTTATTGTAGAAAGAAGTGCCTGCAGGTGATGATTCATGGGTACTTAATTCAGGCTTGAAATATAATTCTAGCATCATAAGGGGGGGGGGGTCGATTGGGGTAGAACTTTGGTATACAGTGTATATATTTCAAATCCTACAGTTATATTTATTCATATATTGATTTAGCAACTTAATCTTTTGATATTTGACAATTTTATTCGTAACTTAACAAACAACAGCTGGCTTAGCTTCTCGTATATGCTACAATTCAATTCAATTAGTTTTCCAATTATCAATTACCAATTGCTACATGAACATGTAGCTTTTTGCATAAATATTTAGCAATCTTTTATATTTCAGGGAAATTCCTATGTCATACCAAATCACATATTCTGAGTGAAAAAGGGTGCTTTCATATAAAACCCAGACGGAAACACAACACCCCTCCCCCCTCCCCCCCCCCCCCCAAAAAAAAAAAAAAAATTAAAAAAACCAAACCAAACAGAACCAAAAAAAAAAGAAAGAAAGAAAAAACAATAACAACATATAGAAAACAAACAGCGAAAAACAACAAATCACACCCCACCCACCCCCACCCCCAAAAAACAAGCAAAACGAATAAACTAACAAACAAACTTTAAGGGAAACAAAACGAAAACAAAGGAAATGTATTTTAAATAATTTAAATATTTTTCAAAAAAGATTTTTCCATATATAAAATAAGATCTTTGGATGCTTATAATTCCCTTGAAGTCGCTGTAGATTGACTTATCCCTGTTTTGCCGTGCGTTTGTCAAGTGAGCTAATTCTTCGAAAGTTTCGGTAATAAACTAAAAGCAATTAAGAAGTAGATCATTGAGGGTGTTAGCATGATTCCAGATTCCCTCGAACAGGACTATTTCTCGCGGTTTCGCCTTGGGAAATAGTTTCTGTCCTTGGGGAACTGGCATCTGGCTAACTCCCTCAATGATGTACTTTAACTAAATATTTATTATCTAAAAATTGCTTTGAATGGATTAATCCCTCTTTTGCCGTGCATTAGTCAAGTGATCTAATCCCTGCTTCTAAATTTGTATGGGTAGAATAAAACAGTTATAAAGTATATCACTGAGGGAGTTAGTAAGATTCAGTTGCTTGAAATCAAGTATAATCACGTAATGCTAAACAAGGTCATTATTAGTAGAAAATAGAAATTGTAAGAGTATCCAATCTTGTATTTTATAAAATATATATTTATTTCCATGTATTGTGGTAAAAACATTTGATATCATCACAATGTTTCCCGTATATTTATACATATATAATCTATTTTAGAATATGGGGGGTGGGGGTGCGTTGCCCCCCCCCCCCACCCGCTATGTAAATTAGTAACTACAGATTGCAGAAACCCACGACAATTTTCCTGATAAAAATTTGAACTTAAAACAAAACGGATTTAAATTTGCATGAAAAACTTTCCTTTATATAAAATAAAATCTCTGTCCATATTGCAAAAGTTAATAAATAATTTGGATTTAAAGTGGTTTAAAATGAATATTGTGTCCGTACTCTAAGAAGTGCCATTATTTCATTATTTCTTTTCAAAAGCAATAGCTAGCCCCCCCCCCCCCCCCCAAGAAAAAAGATACAAAAAATAATTTATTCTATTTTGTAAAAAAAAAAAAAAATAAAACAATGAAAATAATTATTTTCTTTAATACGTGTGTGTACATATTGCATGTAGTGTCAAATGAGGTCAAGAATAAATATTTCTGGGTTAAGTTGTCTTGCGTGACGTCACTTCCCATCATTCGTAGCTGCTCATGTCCGCCGTCGTTGAAGAAGGTGAGGTGTAGACATACAATACAACTTGTTTTATGTGAAAACAACCGAGGAATTCCATGTGTAACATGTAAATACATTAATTGAAAACTTCAATAATGGGAAAATTATATCAGAGACTGTGTCTCTCATGGGACCCTCTATTTAACGAGAGAGAAGTGTTTTTCGCACGGGTTTGAAGTTTAAAAAATGGCATCGAATTCTGATAAAATGGCCGTGACAGTGGATAACCATACGAATTCTCCTGTTAATGAAGAAAATAGTCGAGATGAGAACGATTCTAAAGTTGTGGTAGGAGCAAATAAACATGGTGCCGAAGGAGTACACAAAAAGAAGACATTCAAGATCACCAGCGTCACGAAGAATCGAGGTGGCAGCAGTGAGGCCCAGATTGGGGAGCTGGATGGTGATTCATTAGAGGATTTGGATGAGACGGTTGAAAGTCACACGGAGGATGCGAGTTCTGAGATTTTGGATGGTTCAAAATATGAAGATGTGGGGGACCAAAGCCCCCTGGAGGATAACACTTTTACAACAGATGTGGAAGCTGAGGCAGGTAAAGAGGTGAAAGATAAGGGTGATCAACACACTGTTACAAGGTTTAAAGTTGTAAAAGTGGAAACAAAGGAACCATTCCGAAGAGGCCGATGGACCTGCAGAGATTCTTTAGACACACCAGCAATGGCAGATGCCAGTGACACAAAAGTTAGTACTAAAGAGAAAGACAAAGTAAATTCAGGCAATTCCAGTGCCTGTAGTTCTGTGCACTATGATTATGGTCAAGATGAACCTTCAAAAAATCCTCTACTTATCGCAAATACGTTAAATCAAGTGAATGATCAATTAAATGAATTGAATCAAGCATCAGCACTTGTTATGAACCAAAACCCTGTAAATGTTCACATGACACAGACTGGTCAGTTAGTTTGGAGTGATGGAACACAGATGCCACAATCTTCAATAAACCTTGCTGCTTCCTATGGAATGCACCCGCCTCCCTCCAACCCAAACTTGAATCAGATGCCCAAACTTTTGTATCGTGTTCCGCCGCCGATGGGTGATCAGGCAACAATTCAGTCCTATATCAATGCCATGAATTCTGGGGCCCCCGCTTTTACTCCGGGTCAACCTACTGTCAGTGTCAGTCAAAGTGTCGTTGGCTGTCAGAGTCAAGGTCAGCAGCAGACTGTGTCAGTACAGGCTTTGCCAAATGGACCACTAGGTGTTGGCTCACAACAACTGCATATTTCAAATGCACCTGTGATAAGCTCACTTCCTAACAGCATTAGTGTCTCTTCAAATAACAGTGATTTAGAATATACTCAGTCACTTTCAAAGACCGTTGAACAAGGGAGACAACCCCCAACGAACATACAGACGCCCTCTCTGAATCCTACTAAGGATAGCTACAGTGTTCCAAATGTAGCCCAGACGAGTAACATTAATTCCCCAGGGGAATATCTTGACAAAAGTGCAAAAGAAAATTTAAATATACCCAATAATTTAATGCTTAATTTGTCAGCTAGTCAAACCAACACAGATCAAGTTGTAAATGAAAACATATCAGACAAGCCATCACAAGACCCAAAAGGCCTGTTGGAGCAGGAAGAGCTTGGAAACCCCTCCCTGACCCCCATCCTGACTGAGTCTGCTGTCGCCGAAGCCGTGGGGAACATCTCTAGTCCAACCAAAGAAGACACGGAAAGGTAAGTCTGATATAGAATATAAATCTGGGATGTTGAATGGGTGATTTCATTTGTTGAGAGGCCACATATATAGTACAATGATTTTTGGGCCACGTGCCATATCAACAGAAATTTAAGGGTTTATATTAAATGTAGTGGGATATTAGAATCCCTATACACTGGAATGACTTGTATGCTCTTAATATTTGTTTAATAATTGGTGGCACTATATTTCATAGCGGTTTCAGTGAAAAAGAAGACATTATAGAGTCATTAACTTATTAATGTCATTTAACTAAAGGCAGAAATGTCACGTACTCTAAAATTGTTTACATTCTTTAATGTTTATGAGATTAACTTAATTAAGTACAGGATAGACTGTCACATCCAGGACCTTCGCGACTACAAAGTGAAAGAATCTGAGGCTGAGGCTGTGATTAAGATATATTTGTTCCCACAAACGACTCGTAATTGTGGAGCTTTGGTGGGTCCACAATTTTCGGATATTACTTCACACCAAGGTTCATTCAGCCTTCAGACACTGTTAAATTTCTGTCAGTGTGCATGCCTGAAACTAGTAACTTTTCAGGTGCAGGGTACAGGGCTGATATTTACAAAAAATAAAAATGTTGGAATTTTTTTTTAATTGTAATTTCATTAGTTCGGGGACCATATAAGCTCTCATTTTACCTAGTATCATTATATCATTATCATACATGTATACCATACATGTACTGAAATTTGGTACAAATCCATGTTTGATTTTATGAATTTATCCCCTCCCTTCTTAACAAAAACCCAGCTGTTTACATACATGTAGTGTATTTTTATAAACTAGAGAATGAAAGAAAATTTGTGATATCCTTTCATCTTGAATAGATTTCTAGTAGCACATGTACTTACATATTTAAGACTTGCAAATGCCAATGGCCAAACATGGGTGAAAATGATTGCTGACAGAAAGAAATTAGGACATCCTTTTGGTCCCCCTCTGTCATGAAAGTATGGGGACATTCAGTCTCGTTTGTCTGTCAGTCACAAAAAAATTTAACCTTGATCATAAATTTTGAATTGGAGAAGAAAGGGCATTCATATTTTGCAAAGGCATTACCTGTGACAAGACCTTTCAAAATGAACTGTGATATTTGACCTCATGACGTTGAAGTTTGACCTACTTTTAAAAAGTTTTAACCTTGGCCATACCTGTAGCAGCCCTAGAGATGGGGCTTCCATATTTCACATGAGCATTACTTGTGACAAACCTTTTTTTGCCTACTTGGGACATTCGGAACTATTGTTTAGTAGGCATCATAAGACCAAACTATTTTCTTTCTGACCAAACTATTTTCTTTCTGACCAGAAAAGTTTGCTGTATCCCTGTTTTTGTAAAAAAAAAAAAAATGTTTGCGTTCACTGCCATTACTAGGCAGTAAAAGTGATCACAGTGGAGATATTTCAGAATTTATTTGCATCTTGTCATTTCCCCGTGAATTTAGATAAAAATTCATTCATTTACTATTAGGGGTGGGACGATATACCGATACATACCGATATTTTCTGCTAAGATACGGTTTACGATACATGCATTAAAATATCGGTACGAAACGATACACGAACGACCTATCAAAAAATTGAAAATGAAAGTAGTTGTCCTTGGAAAATGGCGGCTTGTACGAAGCGAAGAGATATTGATATTGACTATACGCTTTAGAACTAATAAGTCGTAGATAAGGGGTAAAACATTTTCACTTTTAAGCATCCTTGGAAGATGGGACAAGAAAAGTTCCGTATGTAAAGCCGCTAAAGCGTGTGATATACAGAAAGTATCGGTTCCCCAACAGTTGATATTATTAACAGATTAATTGTTAGTCCATCTGGCACTAACAGCTCATAACAAAGCATTGATTCTCTAATTTCAAGAATTTAAAATTTTGAAACAAATTGCAAATTAATTATTTTTGTAAACTCAACTTGGTTACAGACTTTCAGCAATTAATAATAATGTACATTTGATGTTTTTTTAATGAATTTTTAGTGTTCTTGATGGACTACACAACTATTTGTAAACAACTTGTTTATAGACATTTGGCAATACATACAAGTAATATTGTTTTTGTAAATATTTAGTCAATGACACTGATGAACTTCAAGTATTAATTTCAAATCACGTATGATTTGATATAGAATAATTTGTTGATTTAGTGTCAAGAAAAAAAATGAAAACAAATACATGTACTAAGTTTTTCAAATAGTTTTATAATTTATCATAATATCGAGATACGTATCGTATCGTGTTATATGTATCGAGATACGTATCGTATCGCAAGATCTGTGTATCGTCCCACCCCTATTTACTATGTTGAATTGACATACATGATGATGTTCCATGTCGTATTTAAGCGTTGAAAGCTATTTTTAGCATGCATGAAAGAGCTGAAAAGACCAAGATTGAAGATAAAAGTTTAAACCTTTGTTGGACATGTGGTATGGTTTGCTTATGAAAGAAATAATCTGCCAGCTAGGTCTGATGGTTGGATTCCTTTGGCATTCACTGCACCAGATGAGACAGGACCTTCATTTTTTTTTCACCTTTGCATTACCTGAAACAATATCCTTTCCAAAGATACTAAGATTTTTATGCCCTGCCATGAGTATGGCCGGGGCATATAGTGTTTGTCATGTCTGTCCTTCCATCCTTCTGTCCTTCCACCCTTCCATCTGTCCTTCCGTCGCACTTTGCATTTAGCTCGGTTCAAAGCTCTGTTTCAAAGAAACTATCCAAGATATTTTTATCAAACTTCATATGCTGATAGATATTGATGAGAGCTATGCAACTGCATCAACATTTTTTGACCTTGTCCTTTCTTTTGACCTTGACCTCACTTTTCTTAAATTAGCGTTTAGCTCAGTTTTTAAAGATACCATTCAAGATAGTGTAATCAAACTTCATATGTTGATACATACTGATGAGAGCTATTCAACTGCATCAACATTTTTTGACCTTGACCTTTCTTTTGACCTTGACCTCCTTTTCTTTAGTTAGTGTTTAGCTCAGTTTTTCAAGAAACCATTCAAGATATTTTAATCAAACTTCATATGCTGATGCAAACTGATGAGAGCTTTTTAACTGCATCAACATTTTTTGACCTTGACCTTTCCTTTGACCTCACTTCTCTTAAATTAGTGTTTAGCTCAGTTTTAAAGAAACCATTTAGGATAGTGTTGTGATACTTCATTATGCTGATACATATTGATGAGAGCTATTCAACTGCATCAACATATTTTGACCTTGACCTTTGACCTCACCTTTCTTAAATTAGTGTCAAACTTCATATGCTGATACATACTGATGTAAGCTTTTCAATTGTTTAAATATTTTTGACCTTGACATTTCATTTAACCTTGACCTCACTTTTCTATTTGAGTTTAACTCGGTTTTAAAGAAATCAGTCATAATATTTTTATCAAACTTTATCCAACTTCATATGCTAATATATAATGCATACTGATATAAGCTTTTCAACTACATTTTTTGACCTTGACCTTTCCCTGACCTTAACTTCTGTGTTTAGCTCAGTTTTAAATAAACCACTCAAAATATTTTTATCAAACTTAACATGCTGATACATATTTGTGAAAACTATTCAACTGCATCAAAAACATTTGACCTTGAACTTTCCCATGACCTTGACCTCTTTTTTTTCTTAAATTTGCATATTGCTTAGTTTAAAAGAAACCATTTAAGATATATTTATTTAAGCTTATGCACTTAAACATAATTTGGTGAGAATTTATCATCTATATCCAACTTTTTTAGATTTCAATTTCCATTTTTAGAGAAACTATTCAAGATATTCTCATCAAATTTCATACACTAATACAAATATTCATGTTGCATTACTAATATACCTTTGGCAGGGCATGCATGTCCTATGGACATATTTCTAGTTACCTCATGACCTAGACCTCAAAGTTTGACTTTGAAAAACTTTAATCTTTGCTGTAACTTTTGCACCGGAACATATTACTGTACTTCAATAAGGCCATAATTAAAAAAAATTCCTACATTCTCATCAAAATTTTTTGAAACATCGAGGCGGGCGGGCGGATTTTATTTTATATTTTTTATTTTTTCCATTGTGCAGATTGTTTGTTGACATGATCAATCGGTGCAGATTTATCTATAATGCCCGAATAAAAGTCACAGTAGAGGTCCATTTAAATATATGCGTATCTCTTAATACACATCATCACCGATCTTTCACAACCAATGATCCTTGTTTAATACATATATATATATTACAGCAATTACCATCGTCATGATCTTGTCAGCTGTCAAAATCATGCCAACATTCGCGCAATTTAAAACGAAAATTGAATGGTAGTTGAATACCGATCCCAATCAGAATCAAGACAAAATAAAACAGAAATAAAAAAAAAAATTGAGGCGGGGGTAAAAAATCAGGGCAGGCAGGGATGAGAATCTAGGAATATATTTATTATGGCCTAATGTATAACCTTTTTAGCAGACGGACACTAGGAGTGAAACGGTTCACCGCGGTATCGATGCACCGCGGTATTTTTTCTCGGTTTGATACACGGTGCAAAATCTCAAATTTTCGGTTCGGTTCATTTTTCGGTCGGGATCATTATTCAGTCGGGTTTGGCATAAGGTATAACACGTTACTCAGTATAAATAAGTATAGAAAACGTAAATTTTTGATGACTGATAGCTTGTAAAATAATTTTTGACAGTCAAATAATTTTAATCAATTTCTTCTAGTCAATTTGCAAATAAAATTCGTAAAATATGTGACTAGATTTAGAAAAAGAAAGCATAAAACAACGTTTCCTTCTATCAAAATGTATCGTATCGAAAATAACCGAACCGAGACAAAATTATACAATACGTATCGAACCGTGAAGGAGGTGTATCGTTTCACCCCTAACGGACACAACAGGACAGACAAGACAGTTACATAGCACCCCAACCACTAAGACCCGGAAATTTGGGGACAGTT